GGCAGATATAAAATAAAAAATTAATAACTTTTTAAAAGTTTGATCGCCTTATTGAATCCGCTATTTTGAATTTTGAAAATCTGACATCAGATTAATAATCAGTGATCCCGAAAACCCCCAGATATCAAGTTTTACAAAATATTAATATTTTTTAAAAGATATCTTGTCACTTTTCATTTAGGGGCTGTTTTCACTCCTAAAAACCACAAACGACTTGATCTAGCAAAACGGCCAGACACGGGTATTTTTTTTTTGAGTCCTAGTTTCCGAAAATGTTAAATTTTTTTGTGGGTCAAAAATTGTGTCGGACGATGTAACCAAACGTTTTTGTGTATTTTCACTTAAAAATTTCAAAACATAACCTATAAATTTTTGTTTCTAAGGTCCCATTTTTCAGATCGCGTCACATTTAGTTTTCACAAAACTTTTAATGTATTATTATTTCATTTTAAAATGTGAAAATAGAATTAGAACCAAAAGATTTTTTTTTAAATTACAAAAAAACGCGTGCGAGATATACGGGGTTGATTTCTATTTCGCACCTCGTCAAGACAGTTGCTCTGCGATAATAATGCTAATTACACACAGATGAAGTCGTTTGGAACAACTCTTCGATATTTATATAAAAAAAAAAATTTCAATGCCATTTACATGTTGTCTCTTCTTGGAATCCCAGTATTCGGAAGATTATACATATATATATAAATACATATATATGTGTATAGCGACTATATAAAGTTTGTGAACACATTGCGGGATTTACTTTAGTCTCGCACCAACATTTATACCCGTGCATTCTCTTTGAAAAGCAAAAGGAAAGCGAAAAAAAAAAAATGTCGGAGCACATATAATATATACAGGCAACGAATTAAGTTGTACCCGCGCGTACATTCTCAAGCGCATCCGGTTTTGCTCGTTTTCGCCTTCCCTCTTACTTCTTTTTTTCACTTAATACAACCTATCGATTCTCGTACATTAAATCCGACGACACTTTAACGAAAAAAAAAAAAAATAAAACTTTCTATGTCACTGATATCGCCATCACGTTATGCCCCTTCGTATTTATCACATTAGCCACTCAAGGTGCTAAAGCAGATAGCTTTTTCTACATTGAAATGTAATTGATTAATAAATTTTACTCAAGTATTCTCACACTTAAAAAAAAATTTTTTTTTTTTTTGCCTTTGACAAATTTTACAGCCTTTGGTCACCTAAGATCTGTTATTGTCTTTTTTATGGTATTATAAATAATAATATGGTAATTTTTAATACAAGAAAAATAAATAAATTAAAATAAATTGTATTTGATATATTATTTTATTACTTTATTGTTATAAAAAAATATAAAATGTATAAAATATTGGTATTAATTAATTACATTGATGAAAGTAGATTTTTTTCATTAATATAATAAATATTGTATTTTGCAATTGCAAAGTTATTAATAAGTTGTACTCAATTTGTTTGTATAATTAACATTTTAAAAGTATGATTAGCCTTTATTAACATAAAAATATATATAGGTATGAAAAGGACTATATAATAAAATGAGATTAATAAACAGACAAGGGTAATAATTTTTAAAAAGTTTAATATATAATATATGCGTACATTTTTAAACTTTCAGTAGAGATCTTTGTTAAAAAAACCAGATGCATGCATTTATCTTTTAATTGGTGGAAAGTTTAATTAAAATTAAATTTATGTGACTCTTTTCTTGATTATATATTTTACTTTTATATATATGCTTTCATTAAATATTGTTTATTAAAAGTGTAGTTTAATACTTGTTCTTTTCATAACGTTTATTAAAATATTTCCAGTCATTTTTATTATCTCTTTATACTATTTGAAATTATTATTATTATTATTATTATTTTATTATTCTTATAGTTTGGCAATTTTTTATTTATATATATATAGCTTGACTATATAACGATTGCAAAAACTGATTTTACACTTTATTAAATTATTAATTAATAAAGGAACATAACTTTGAATTCAGAATATCCCTCTATTTATATATAAAGAAGAAATAATAAATATTTGACAGTTTTTCGATACTTTATTCCATGCATGTGCAATGAGATGTACTTATTTTCTTTGAAGTATTATTGATTAAAAAATGAAAAAGAATGTTAATGTTTGTCGAAGCATGGAGATTTCAATCTTGAAAAAAAAAAGTTATTATTATCTCCCCTCTACTTATTAACAATATTGAGAGAATTCTTCTGGAAAATCGTGAACTGTGTGACATAAACACCCTCATCTTATGACAATTTTTTTTTTTTTTTAAATATATGAAAGAAACGATAGAACATTTTTTTTTAACACTCGTATAATTTTTTTTCTAATAATTTAATAAAAATGCTATAAATAATTTTAAAAATAAAAATTAAATTCAGTACTGATAACATTATAACAAAGTGTGGTGTAAATAGAAATGATAATCGCGTGCAAAAATCAGTTTACTTGGTACTTATATCTCCGCCCAGAAAAAATGTACAATAGAAAAGAATTAATTTTATAAAATGCAAGAATTTTCTTATATATATAGAACTGCTCGTGCACGAACTTATGATATTAATCTTTTGTTACTATTATAAAGTTGCACAAGTTCAATTTGAATGTTTTTACAGAAATATATATATATATATATTCTTTTTGTCATATATATTATATGAAATTTGCCTATTGAAAGTACATATATTCCCTATATAGAAAATCGCATAAATCTCCAAGGGTGTTATTATTATTAATAAGCTTTACTCGAACCCTTGAGGCGTTTTATGAAACTTGTTTAATAAATATTCAAATGCCCGATTGTTAAGCAATTTTTTTCCCCTCCAATACTGTGAGAAATTAATTACTATAGTATTTGTAAAAAAAAGCTTATATATATAATTAGAAAAATTACAAGAATAATAATAATAATAATAAAAATGATATTTATCACAAAAAACACAATTATTGTTATATAATAATTAAAAATAACTTAAAAGTAGACATTATCTATTGTTGTAGGATTTATTAAAAAAGGGGGAATAAAAATAAATCTATAAAATAGACGTAAGAACTTGATGAAAATGATTTTTCTCACAGAATTAATTTATTCCTCCCATTATTCATTAGTTTGAGTGAAGGGAATAAAAAAAATACAGTACTGATTCAGTGAGTTAATTCATTTAGAACGATAAAATTCTAATTCATAAAAGATTGTGATTAATGTTTTGAGTGAGGACCGTGACTAAAAAAGTGGAATTTCATGATAACGGTACTAACACGAAATATACATCTTTTGAGCATAAAGTGTTTTTCGGTATACATTTGTAAATGAATATAAAAAGAAGAACAAGAAGAGGCCAAGCAATTTCGCTTGATAAATTTTTAAAATCCTTTTCGTTCCTCAGGGAGGTCTTAATAAATCATTTGATCATTTTAAAGTGTGCACGCCGCTCGAGTGACCTATCACTTCCTTTTTTTTTTGTTCGCTGCAAATGTCTTTTATTTTTCTCGTTGATAAATATTAAAATTATCGTTACTTTAATAAAATGCTTCAATTTTAGTAGAAAATTTTCGAAATAAAAAAAATATATTTTGGCAATTTGAATTGTTGATGGAATTTAGTAATTGTAATCACTATAGAATGATTTCACTGAAAATAAGTTGAAATCTTTACTTATTGAAGTAGACGATTCTGTTTTACCTGGTAATAATAATAATGAAAAATTTACTGTTCTGTTTTACCGATTAAAGCTAATGCATATTTGACTGTTCTGTTTTACCGACTAGTGATAATGCAAATTTGACTGTTCTGTTTTACCGACTAGTAATGCAGATTTGACTGTTCTTTTTTACCGACTAGTGGTAATGCAGATATGACTGTTCTGTTTTACCGATAAGTGATAATGAAGATTTGATTGTAATTTAGTATAATATGCTTTTAATTTAGAAAGTTAAAATTAAATTTTCAATAGTGAAAACAATTTTTTTTACCAAATCATTTCTACTAATTTAAATTCATATTTTTTTTATTACTTTCATATCATATTGTGTGGATTATAAAAAAGAGGGGTCTTGTTTTTGAAACCCGATCCACATTAGGTTTCTTAAGCCTAATAAAAAGCTTAATTGTCCGGAGTTGTGAGATTCGAAATGTTTTTTTTTCTGTTAAAGGAGTGCGATTGTAGAGAATTAAAGGGAGAGAGAAAGCAAAAAGAGGTATAAAGGTCAGAATCTTTGAAGATATTACAATAAAAGCGCAGCATCGTGTCGTTTTGCTTTTTGTCGGTCTCGCTTCTTCTTTTGTTGTATATATGTACACATATAAAATATATATATATATATATATATATATGTAAGAAGGGGAGGCGCGATGCGAACAAGAAGCAACGGGAAACGAGGCATTGAAACTGCAAATTTCGTCCAAGCTATTTGGCTAATGGACAGATAAAAAGTTGCATCGACAATCTTTGGCGTTTTCAATTCTTTAATGCACGTCATAAGACATTGATAACGTCGAGAGTATAGACCATGCCGAGCCATATAATATACCTTTCTTTTTCCATTCCCTTCGAGCAATCTTTAAGAAGGTACTGTATGTTGGCACACTGGACAATAGATAAGCAAGAACCTGGGCTCGCTTTAATACTGCAATTTTTCAAAGCAGCGTGCATAAGAAATAATCTTTGAGGTACACGCCTATTTCTCATTACTCTTGTGTCGGGGCTCTTGAACCCCTCCCCCCCCCTCCTCTAATGTCGTTCACTGCTCAACTGTAAAATGCTCTGATTATTATTGTTATTATTCTTAAGGACATGTGACATGATTTTACAAAAATATTCCTAATTTTAAAATAAATTTTATTTGGCTTCAATAATTATTTGCGAATATTAGCAAAAATATATTCAATAGTTTACAACTCATAGAAAAAAAATTATAATATAAAAAAATTAATTTATTATTAATTAATATTAAATTCCCATTTCTTTTTGTTTTAGGACGATGATGGGATTTCTGCGAATATTCTTTCTTTAAGGTAAGATATTATAATTATTTTTAAATATTTATAAAAATTTAAACAATTTAAATTACAAATATCCAACAATTTTTTTAATGAAAAAACATTTAAGAATTTTAAAAAAAAAATGATGCATTTCTTTGCGCCTATTGGAAGGGGGTGAAGAAACAATACACCACGCAAGTAGTTTGATTCACGCGATGTAGCGGATGGTAAAATACAATTTCTTGGACACCTTCCCGTCTATTTTTCACCGAGCTAATTACTTATTATTATTATGATTATCTTGATAAGTGATGTTGTATTATATATATAGATATATGTGTGTGTGTGTGTCTAGGTATAGGCGACGGAAGGGGTTTTTTAAATCGAATCTCGCGAAAGGCGTCGCTTAAACATCCGGTTACGGGCGTTAATATAGAGGACGTTATAATAGCTGCTCCGCCCTCTTGTGCACAGTATATTAGCGGTAGAATGCAATGTTTTTTTTTTTTTTTTTTCATGCAATGGAAATCTTTCCAATTCGCACTGACACGCAGCAATAAAATAGAATTTGCCTGAAGCGTCTAATCTCGCGGGGCCGGTTCTTGAAGACGATGTGTAAATTCTCTTGAGAGAGTAGCGTAAGAAAAAAAAGAAACAGCAATCGATTCTAAATAGAGAAATTCAAATAAATAGATTTGATTTAATTATTCCTGAATTAGAATTTTTATATGAATATTTAATGATTTCAAAAATTTCACCTTATTAGGCATTTAGCAGTTTAAATTCTTTACCCGTGGGATGGTCGAGTGGTTACTGTACTGGATTTTCAGTAGCAAGGTCCGGGGTTCGATTCTTCTCGATTGTGGGTTTTTTCGCTTCGAAAATTCTTCTCTCTCTCTCTCTCTCTCTCTCTCTGCCTTTCTCTCGTAATTGTAATTAATTCGAAAAAATATATGCAAATATGAATTATTATTTGCTGTCATTTGAAAGAATAAGAACAAAAGAAAACTTCAAGGACAAGAGAGATAAAAGAAGAGCAAAAAATATTATTGGAAATGAAAAGTTCTACGGAGATTCGGAGAAGCAAAGGAGGAAAAAAAGGAAGAAAGGGAAGACGGATAAGGTGGAAAAGAGGAAAAAAGGAGGAAGGAAAGGAAAACGGTTAAGAAGAAAAGGAAAAAACCGGCAAGGACAAAATAAATAAAAAAAAAGGAGGAAATATTAGAAAAGAAGGAAAAGTTCTACAAAGGTAAAGGAGGAAGGAAAGGAAGAAAGAGGAAAAAAGAATCGGCGGACGAAGGAAATAAAAGAATGAAAAATATTGGAAAAAAAGTAGGAGGCAGAGGAGAAAAATAGGAAGGAAATGAAGAGGAAACGGAAAATAAGAAGAAAGGGGAAGGAATAAAGAAGAGAGAGAGAGAGAGAGAGTGAATTCGAAGGGTCGAGATACTGACATCTCAGAGGGAGGAAGTGAGAGAAACTGAAAAGGGTAGAGGATTGAAGGGTTACGAGAGGGGGGGGGGATTTGAAGGGAGAGGAAAGGCATGGCATGCACGATGCACGTAGCGAGATAACTGGTTTCGCGGAGCCTGCTATCATGCACTCTAATTACCAGCCATTACACCCAGACAGCAAACCCCTCTGAATTGTTGCGTTCTCTTCCTACACTCGTACTCTCGACCACCGAGACCGGTGTGCCCTGACCGCAGCTTTAAATGCAGTATTAATATACAGAATAGCCATTTTGCCGACGTTGCACGTGGTTTTCTCGCGCGAATCCCTCTCAGTCCCTCTTTACCTCTCTCACTCACTCTCTCTCTCTCTCTTTCTCTCTCTCGCCTGCTCCTGCGTTGAGTTTACCACACCGACGCTCCTGTGGCATCGCTAGTCTTACCTTATGTCGTCGCTTTCCGTGTTTGCATCTTAAAACAAGATGTTAGCAAATTGATTAATTGAGAAAGCACATTTTCCCTAGGAAGCGTGCTCAACTTCTTTGATGTGTTTGACATAATATAATCAACCCCGCTTTAATGGAACGTGCATACATTTTTAGTCTCCGCTTTGTGGTTATTATACATAGATAGACAATTTTTTTTAACTCTAGAAAAATTTTTCGGAACAAAACAAATTTTTGTTGATTCACTAATATTTTGTTGCGTCAATTAAAAATTGTTATAAATTTTAAGGGAGGCTAAACAGATATCAAGAAAATATTTTTCCTTTATATTAATAATAATGCTTTTTAATTATTATTATTATAACAGTATATAATTTTCGATAGAAAACAAAAATCAATTTTATATTCCATCGCAACAAGAGAAATATAGATTCTAATCACTGAGTGATTATATTTATTTTTCATTATCTGTATATAATTGAATCAAATGATTGAACCAATCTTAATTTTCAAGATTACAAGTTTAAATTGAAGAAAGAATGAATTTTTAAGATTCGCCAGTATAAGAAACGGTAAATTGTGGAAAACGCTATTAGATACGTATCTTTCGCACTTATAGTATTGGAAAGAGAGAGGATTCTTTATCGAAACTAATGCTTGCGATTTAAGCCAATTCGCAAATATTTCTTATCATAAACTAAAAGTCTAATTATTTTCGATATTTCTAAAAGATCGAAATTATATCCGTGTGACATATAATGTGCGGCAACAACCGATGGATATAAGCAGTGAAAAAGTATATATATACAGTATTGTATATATCTTTACGATCTCACCAAGCTCTGTTGCGATTTAACGATGTCAGATTGACCTCCTCGCTAAGACGATAATGTCGTAAAAATTGATTTTACCGTAACTGTTCCATACTGCTTGCGCTTTGTGCGAGTAGACAAGCAATACACAGAGAGAAGAGAGAGAGAGAGAGTTGGAAGATCAGTGAACTGCAAGTTATTTGCAATTAAAGATATATTGCTTCAGTTTCTCTATATCTATTGAAAGAATGTGCTCGATCCTTTACACATTTTTTCAGCAAAAAAAAAAAAATATATATATATATATACACTTGACTATATTTTCTCAACAATTCTATAGAACAAAGGCATTTTTTTCATTTGGTGTGTGTAATCTTGTAAATCTTTTTTTTTTTCAAGTTTGTATTCTATAATAAATTTTGTGTGATATAAAGATGGAATTCGTTTTATGAAGATGCTCTTTCTTCGCATTAAACATTCACAGAAAATTATAAGGTACTAAAATAAGCTGCAACGCTTATTATTTTAATCCAATTTTGCTTATTTTAATCAATTTTGGTATTACAATAAGCAACATTGGATTAAAATAATAAGCGTTGCAGCTTATTTTAATGCCTTTTAATTTTCTGTGTTTTCATAAAAATATTCTACTATAGATATATATTTTTATTTATTTTTATATACACTGAAAAAAAAAATTTATTTGATTCAAACACTCGATTATTATTATCAAATAAATATTTACTTGAACCAAAGAAAAAAAAAAAAATTTTCCAAATCATTTTAAAATTAAATTTTAATTTTGAAATTTCATTCCGAAATAATCCGATTGTTTTAGATTCTAAATTTAACAATTTTTTTATTTTATGTATTATTATTATTATTAGTAATTACATATAATCTCTGGTATTCAAATCAAATGAATATTATAGTGAAATAAAATTGTTAACGCAGTAATATGGAAAATATATAATAACGCGATATATCGTTACTAATAAATACAAAATTATTGAAACTGTAAATTTTAGCCTCAACAATATATAATTAATGATTGCAGCATCAGATATATAAATTAAATTAATCTTTTGGCTCGTGTGCGATCATTTTCGTTCAAGTGTCAGAATATTATTTATATATATTAATGATTATTGACTGATTTATAATTTTACATAAAATCCACATTCATGCAAATTCAAAGTAATTAAATGATGGAATATATTTCATTTGGAAACTTTATTGGAAATTTGAAACTGAAAATAGAAAATATTCTTTTCGAGAAAGACTAGATATATATTCGTTTCATTAAATGCGAATATATCTCATTATGATATATGGAAAAATGAATGACGAATTTAATATTATAAATAATAAATGTTAATAATATATATATATATATATATATATATATATATAATGAAACAAATGAAATAATTTACATGTTGATATGAAAATGTGATTTTGTTTGAAGTTCCTTTCACATGAACTTTGTGCCATATACTACACGAGTCGTCCTCATTCATGCTAATTTGGACTTTGTGTTAGTTTTGCCATATAGAGGCTGTGTATGGATCTCTCTGTCTCTCTCTCTCTCTCGCTCTGTGCAAGAGTAGAAGGATAATTAGACCGAACATACCGGTCCGATTGAAACGTGCGATCGGTTGAATTGATCTGTTACACGACTCGTCTAGCGAACGCCGCTTTTTAAAGATAGAAAAATTCGATAAGTTTTAATTAATTTCTACATAACTTCTTATCTCTTCAGTAGTCTTAAGAACAATGTTCCCAACTTCTTCTGTATTTTTTTTTTTTTTTTTTTTCATTGCACTGAGAGAAACATTCACTGGGAAATTGTTTTTCCTTCCTAATTAAGCTGATTCAAGTTCAAAAAGTTAAGTAATTTTAAATGAATTTCGATAAATGGGTGAATTACTACTCTGAAAAGAAAATTTATTTGATTTACCGGTGTATTTGGTTATTATCAAATAAATATTTGATTCAAATAAGAAATATTTGATTCAAATAAATATTTATTTGATAATAACCAAATACACCGGTATTTGAATGAAATAAATTTTTTTTTCCGTGTAGTTTTGACTATTCAGTTATTTTTCTGGGCATCTTAAGAAAAATTATTAGCTAGAACTTTCACCGTGTAGTTGTTATTTTTAACTAATACAGATTGTTCAGTTTGCATTAAAAATTTATTTTTTAATCATGTGTTTTATTAATATTTTTTAGTTTAATTAAAATTAAATTAAAATTTTACTTTTTAATATATTTTTTTTTACAAATTTCTTTTTTTTTTATTAGTTGTGCAAATATTT